TTTTATACAAAAAAAAAAACAATTCCTAATCCAACAACTTACATATGATCAGTTTCAATACAGTAACAAAATACAGTAGGTAAATATTTGGCAAATCAACTACAATGTAAAAAAGAAAAGGCAACCATCCAGCCATCCATCCATTTTCTAAACCGCTTAGTCCCAAACGGAGTCACAGGGGGCTGGAGCCAATCCCAGCCAGCTGCGGGCAAAAGGCGGGGTACACCCTGGACAGGTCACCAGTCCATCGCAGGGAAAAGGCAATCATTACATTCATATTTGACTCTGCAGGTAAAACTGTTCATAATCCACAGGATATTAACAATGTATTTCAAGCCTTTGATAGTGTTAGACTTTGGTTCTTCTTACCATTGCTAACTCTGAGAGACGAGACTACACAGAAACGTCAACCGAGACGTCTCTGTTGCCAGCTTTGCAGCTGGCAACCGAGACATCTCTCTTACCAGCTTTGCAGCTGGCCATAGCGGTAGTCAAAACATGAAGCAAATCAATGTGCATGTGTGTGTGTCTGTTGATTAAGTGGTGTGTAGCTAAAAACATTCTCACGACCTCTAGTAACATGTTGTGACTTAAACATAAGAACATATTATGGCTAAGGCTACAGTTATACACGTCATAATAATAATATTAAACACCCTGTCTGCTGACAGTCATCAACTTTTCTCTCTAGTTATCCATTACAAGATGTACTCTGTAGAAACTCATAAGCATGCCTAAGCATGTAAAAGTCTAACTAGACATCCTATCTCCACTAAACATTTCTAATACATAAAGTATCTATCCAATTTCTATCTGACTAAAAATACCTAACAATAGCAAATTATACTCTTCTGATCATGAACCAAATCCATCTGAAATAGATATTTTCCTAAACAATATAAAATTACCAACACTATCCAGACAACAAACTGGTACCTTAGATGCCCCCATCACTTTGGATGAACTCTATAAAGTACTGAAATCCATGCCATGCTTCATTAAAAACAGACATGCTTCGGATAATACCCGTAGACTATGGAATAACCTCACAGAGTTTCACACTACACCAGGGAACCCGACAAGGATGCCCACTCTCACCATCTCTATTTGCTATTTTCATTGTACCTCTAGCAGCAGCAGCAATATGACAGAATAATAGCATCAAAGGAATACAAGATACTAACTTACAACATAAAGTTTGCCTGTATGCAGATGATTTATTATTATATCTGCAGGACACCTACAGTATAGTTCACTTACAAGAAACTTTCTCCATTATTAATACATTCTCCAGGATTTCCAACTATACAATAAACTGGAATAAATCCACCATATTGCCACTCTCTGAAGATGCCTGGGATTCTGCAGCTGAAGACACTTCATTCTGGCAACATTAAATATTTAGGCATCAGTATTTCCCCCAGGCTATCAGAACTTTTTAACCTCAACTACACCCCTCTGCTTAAAAAGATAGAAGATGATAGAAGACGATTTCAAATGCTGGTCCAACCTCCCACTGTCACTTATTGGCCGAATTGCTACAGTCAAAATGAAAATTTTACCACAAATTAACTACCTGTTTTCAATGCTTCCCACAACACCCACAGATAAATGGTTCAAATCACTTGAATCTCTAACTTCACAATTTTACTGGAATAACAAAAAACCCAAGATTTCCCTGTCAACACTTGAGAAGAATAAATCACAAGGTGGCCTAGAAGCACCAAATTTTGAGCATTATTTTTTAGCAAATCAACTACAATATTTAGTTAAATGGATTCAGAAGGACAGTTGTAATAGCTCATGGACAGAAATAGAACAAAATCAATGCAAAAATACTTCAGTTGCAAACCTTGCCTTTTTACTGCACTCAATTAAGAAAATGAACTACTGCAAAAATATTACAATCTCTGCAACTCTGACAGCCTGGTGGAAAGCAAACAAAACCACTAAATCCTCATTAACACCATGTAGATACACCCCAATTTGGCACAACCCTGACTTTCAACTGCATAACAATCCCATCTACTTTCCAACATGGCAACACAAAGGAATCACTTACCTTCATCATCTATTTGAAAACAGCCAATTTATACCATTCAATACATTAGTCCAGAAGTCAAATACAGATACAACAATAACAATACCAATGACTAAATGGGAAAGGGATTTGTCAGTCCCCCCCAGCTGCAACTTCTGGACCGAGATTTGTAATAATATCTTTTCCATGACTACTAATATAAACTTACAGCTTATACAGAGTAGAACCACAGCTCCTCCACATTGAGAGGAGCCAGCTGAGGTGGCTCGGGCATTTGTTTC